TTAATTTTGGGGGGTGCAGTTGTTGTAAATGCAAAGTGACTATAAATTGATGATATATTTCATGTTTCTTCGTTTATACGCAAATAAGCTGCTATTGCTAATGTCATTGCTTATTATATATATCCGAATAAAAGAAATTTGTTTACTGAATTCAACATGAAAGATAGCTTTACAACATATGATCTCCATGGTTTGGGCCTTTGTAGCTTTGTCTTTTATTTCGTTATCTCTTTTGTTTCTCTCTCATATATCTCCTCGTTCTAACTACAGCGATCCCTTTTTTCCTCTTTGCATTTATCATTCTTCGCTTCATTATTCTTTTTATTTCACTGTGCGTTGTGTTTTGGTGTTTGGTTGTTTGTATTCCACTTAACCTCGTCTTTTTCTTTGCATATTCTTCATTCATTATTTTGTGCGCGTACTTCTGCTGCTGTTTGCCTTTCTCTTTGTTTCTTCCAATTGTTCTCATCATGTATATTTGCTGCCTGTTTTAAACGTTTGCATTTGCTCCTCTTTTGCTTCTGTTGGCGTACAGAACAGAGCGAGTTCAAGCAGCCGCCTCTACCCGAACTCACTCCACGAGACTACATCTCCGCTGAAGGTAAGAAAAGAAAACATGAATAAATCAACGCCGCAAAGCAGCAAAAAGGCTTATTTATTTAAACAAATAAATTAAAGTGTAAATACAAGGGAACAATTCACTGAGGAAACAAAAAGTTTCCGTTTGGGTAGACCATAAGCAATGCTGAAGGAGAGACTCTGCTGTAAACGAGTGCATATAATACAATGAAGAAAGCAGAGCGTCCGGAGTGAAAATGATGAATTTTCCGTTGTATTTGTGGCTACCAATCACCGTGGTGTTCTTGCCGTTCAGTGCACTTGTCTTGCTATGGTTCATTCCCTTCTTTATCGTTCTTTTCCTGTGCCAGGGTACTTCTGCGTGCATATTTTCACTATCACTTCTGTTGAGCTGTGCATTTCTCCTGGTGTTTGCAGAAAAGGCGGCTGAGGCAAATCCTTCTATCGATCGTTCCATCCCAGCAGAACATCTGGTGAAAGGGATAGAGGTGATCAAAGGCGTTGCAAAAAAATATTCGACCCCGCATAACTATTTCCCCGGCAACACT